TAATTTTTATAGCCACGGAAGTTAGAACAGGCGGTCGCCGTACGTCCGTCAAACCATCGATAGGTTACGTGCATCAATCGATCCCTCGATCTATCTATCGTCTCGCTAGAGTCAGCTAATTTTTTCATACCGGTACAACGAACTGCAATGTTGTGTCGGATCGCTTTTCTCACATTCACTGTTAAATTCCTACAAAGCATTTGCTTTGCAGAGCTGCAAAGTATTTTGCTCCTTTGTAACTACGAAGCATTTACTTTGCAATTACGAAGTGATGCTTTGCAATTGCGAAGCAATGAAAACGCTGCAAAACATCGCTTTGCAACTGCAAAGTGTCACTTCGTAATTGCAAAGCATCACTTTGTAATTGCTAAGTAAATGCTTTGTAGTTACAAAGGAGCAAAATACTTCGCAGGCATTTAACAGTGTTCAGATTGCGGTTTCTGTTTATCTACCCGAGCACTGAAAGTATGGGAAACTACACGTGCAACTTCAAGAACCACAACCGCTTGCCCCGTGCCTCCTTTCCTCCTCGATTCTGTGTGAAGCGACCGGCCGCTAGGTCCCGAGGGTACTAGCTACATATTTCGCTGATTGCTGCTCCAGCCGAGTAGCTAAATCATGGCTCTCGACGTTCTTGTGCATGGTGTGGCCAAGCTCGTCCTCGGTCAGGCCGCCTGTACGGGACAGACCAGTCGTCCTGGTAGCGGGCCGAGGCCGAGAGGCCGAGCGCCTCGTGCTGGCGCCCCGAGCGCCTGGTTGCCTAACAAACGCAGGGGTGCAGGCTGGGTTGCCTATGCGTCAGGCACCCTACTCCACTTCAAACAACAATACAACCTTTTATTTCGCTGTAGAGGTATAGTTTAGTTGTTCCTCATGGCCCAGCCCGCAGCTCCCCGGCAGGCAGAGAGCGTTGTGGGCCGAGCACTAGGTTGTTTCATTTTGAGGGGTCAGGACGCCAAATTTTCTGAAGCGAGGCTTTTTGAAAGTTTATTTCATGCTGATACTCATGGAAACAAGCAGGCCCGCCATTCCGCCAAACGAAGTTGCCAGCTTCGCTTGGCTGCGCCGGCAATTCCGTTCGGCAGGGGCCGGGCCTGCTTGGCCTGCCGGCGGCGATGGTCGGGCCTGCG